ACAGGACACAGACTTCACTCTTTAAAATACCACAAATAAAACGTTTCTAAGTTAAAAGTATAATTTTGTTTATAACCGTTTTGATATTAGTTTTGGCTATGGGAAATAATAGAAGATATGACTTAGGATTAAAATTAACGTAAACGCTAAAGCTGAAAAAAATAAATTAAATGTATACAATGTTTATGCAAATTTGTATCAAAAGTTTCCAACGTTATTTAAATTATATTATTAATACAATAAGTTTTCTTGATTTTATAGTGCCTAGTCTAATTTATTGGATAATCTAGCTGTCTGGGTTTCTCATAAATAGTTCAACAACACTTTTTATTGTAAAGTTTGTTACATTATGAATTTTTTTCGACAAACCCGGATAGCAAGGGAGTCTGATTAAACTGAGCTTCATAAAAATATATAATACGATTTGTATGTATTTATGTATGAGGTAGGGTCCAGGAGATTAGGGGCATTTTAGACATAGACATAGACATATTTTATTCATGAATTTGGTACAAATTATACAATGCACATCTCAATCGTTAAATACATTATATGGTCTAGTAGCATTTAAATCAAAACGAAAAATTTAGTTAAGTTAAAACAACAAACGTAATCATGATAATTACTACTTAGATATTGATAATAATCCTTTTAGACTTGAAAAAAGTAGTTAGCAAAAAGTTAAAGTTAAAACCAAATACGCTGATGGAATCGGGCACTACCAATTATCTTTTAAATGGAATTACTAGCAATAATTACAATGACAATCGCCGTATCCCAGATATTGTTTCTGATATGGTCTTGCAATTTTTTTTAATGCAAGCCATTGAAACACTCCCCTTAAACTATGATGTATACGATATAGTTTGGTTTGGACTTAGAAACTGCAATGTTTGTCATTTGTAACTTCTAAACATTAAGCAACCATGTGTAGAAACACATTTTGCACAATGAACTAAAATTTCAATATTCAATAGGCTAGTATATTTATCACTAGGGCGTAACGTGGCTCTTTTAAACCCGAGCTCAATTTTCACGAACCATGGTTTGGTATAATGTGGGAGTGTATTGAACTACATTTTTCGTCATATTCAAACTAAGTTATACAACGAATATACTTTTCAGGCAAAGATAACCTCTCAAATCGACTTCCAACTTGATTTTCAATTTTGCCAATGAAAACAAGCAGCTGTTAAGAAAGTGATTCAATCATTTAGCCTATTGCGATTGGATTAGTCTAAATAAATATACATCCGGATGTGTAACTCACTGATCAGGTATACCCGTTCGAACAGACTTCTATAAGAGCTAGCGGATCTGAAATTTGGCAGGACTAGGTTTAGTCCCAAAACCACCCAGAAAACTTTCAAACGAAACCTTTAGAGACCACAACCCCCAAAAATTAAAAATAGCGGATTTTAGAAAATGTTTGGAAAGGTGATTTAAAAACGTTTGTCGTGGCCAAACTGTCGGTCGAATCAAAATACGGAGAGCAAGTGTCCTTTATTTTAAACGAGTTAGAACTTTGTAATTTAAAGTTAAATTTTAATTGCGATGAACATACATGATTTTACTTAAGTTAAAGTGTTTCCACCATGTTCCTTCAAGTCCAAACATAATTTACAAATTACTACTTTTAAACCATACAACGTGTCCAATCGACTCATATTATCCAACGTTTATCACCCAGTCAGGTATTAGCAAAGTGGACCTGTGGTTGGGGGTGACAGGGGGGGGGGTGTTAGAGGGTCCAAGTACCTTCTTGACCTTGTGCCAACCTCTCAACTCTGTCACCGAGCTGTATTGGCTGCGTCAAGTTTTATCAAAATTTATTTAGCGGCACAATCATAGTGTATTGAGTGGTTTGGTACGATTTTTTATTAGTTACTTGGTGGCAGGGTCAATTTCCCCTAACATCGTTTGGTGCTACAATTTACAATGGCGAGACTAATCGTAACCAAGGGTGAAAACTACTAGAATAGTAGTGGGTGTAGTAAAGAACATGGTGTGGAATTAGATTTGAACTAAGTCGCTTGACCACGACGAGAGACTTGAATTGACTAGAAACCCTAGTTTTGTGAAGAGTTCCGAAACAAATTAACAACTAAAAATTACTTAAACATTTTCATACATATAAATTTGCTTTGGTAGCAACTGAAAGGTTGTAAAAATCAAAAAGTTTTAGTTTTGTCCAAATCATAATTATATGTTAGTATTTTGTAAGAACAGGTCGAAAAAGTTCGTATACATCAATGTATTTGTAAAAACTCCTCAAATGTGTTGAAAGCCAATGTTTCATTTTTAATAGTTTATTTTATGACTTAACTGCCGAGATCAATATTTAACACCCCCTTTTATTTTTACTGATGGAATATTTTTACTGATGGAATAATGGCCAATTAACTGTATATCTACCTTTTAATAACCTTGTCTTTTTAAACGATAATCTGAACAATAAATAAAGATTTTACGTCAACGTTGAAGCTTGTAAAACATTACTTCAGAACTTTTTGTAATATTGATTTGCAACAAAACGGAACTAAACTCGAAAATAAACGCAAAGCAATTAAGTCGAAGTAATTTCAAATGCTTGCTTTAACTTCCCAACATACGAAACAGACACTTTATTCAATACAAAGATAAAAGGCGAAGGCTATACTACACTCTTTTAGAGAGACCCTGAATCAAGGTGGTGTATATTATGAGGTGTTATATACAAGGGAACCTCGATAACAAGACTAACAAGTCACCCTTGATAACGAGTGCCGTCTTCAAATCCTCTAGAATTTATCTAACCCCTATTCACAAGTTATTGCAAACCTCGATAAGAAGTCAACCTTGATAGCAAGTATTTTAATAATCCCCATGAGAGTCTTGTTATCGAGGGTCTACTGTGTATTATTAATTGTGCACAATAAGTTGTTCCAGCTGCGATGCAATCTCATGGTCTACTTTGAAACGTGGCCCTCTGTTAAAAAAGGGAGTCTACTGTATTTATATAACTAAATTTAATTTAAGTCTTTACTGATTTACGTTGTAAGTGTTAAATACTATTCTACAGTACTACGGTACAAGTAAAGTAAAGTATACAAAAGAAAACTGCTTATAGGAACGTTTTGCGTTTATCGCATAAAAATAACCATCTATTTGAGTATTTGCAAGGCAGACTAATGTGTTTCGGCTGGGAGGGAGACAAACTCAGAGCCGTAGCGTAGTCTTTGGCTATGACACCTCATGCCGATAAATTTAACCACCCCTTAACGAAACCGGAATACACAATCCCCCTTGCGTCTTTCTGAGGTGGTGGAACAACGTTCACAACAGGAGGGAAATTGTTGTTTCAGGAGGTTACTTCAGTTTGTTCAAACATCACACAATTAAGACGATAATTACTCTGATTTACTCGTTTTATCAGAAAATTGAACAAGTAATTAACCAAGAACTCTTTAAAAACTCGGAATCTATCAAAATTCCTGGCGGACTGTTAAACTATGCATATGTCAAACTTAAGATCAAACATAAGGTCTTCAATGCAATTACTCACTTTCCACTCTTGTTATCAAATATCAGTTCAAAAACAATTTCAACGTTTTAACTACTCAAAGTTAAATAGTAATGGCAAATGGATCCATATAATAGTTATTCAAATATTACAGTGGTATGATTACAGCAGATACAGATAATTTGAGTTAATTTATGATGCAAAGAGTTTATTTATGGCTATTTAGAAGACATGTAAAACTAATATGAAACTAAATTTAAAAGCCTAATGAGTACAACTTTAATTAAGGTTTATTAATACTTTTTTAAACCTTGCTCTAACTGATTTAATATCCTATGACCATATACAACGAAATTAATTAGATCTGCGCTGTAACAAGTGACTAATGTAACGACATTGATTCGAAACACGAATTTAATTATCCACATTTATAGCTCCAACCGTATTTAGCAAAGCCATACATATTACTTTGTTACTTGATTACGTTTTCGTTAGATATGTGTATTAAAACTATAACAAATACTACTATTTATACATTCGTCCGCAATATTTACACAAACTCATTCAGAACATCACAAGTGTGCGAGGTTAACTCTGAATAATTGGTAAAATGTATGTTAAAGGCAAAGTATATATCAGGCATTCTATACATTGCCTTTAATGAACCAGGCATATAAGAAATAGAGCTCATTATATACTGCCTATCCATTCTATAGAATTCCCGTTGGCACTGCAGGTATAAAAATATATCCACATAAAAAATATAGTATACGAATACTGTTGGGGATTCTTTTTGGACTTTTATATCCTTGTTTGCATTGATTTATTTAATCTAAAAAAAATAACCTAACCATATAAAAATATTTCACTATTCTAAAGGATGTTTTAAAGTCTGTTCATTCCTTTTTTGGTATTAGCTTATCTATTCTAAAATGATCTAAAATTACCTAACCTAACCTTACACAAAATAAACCAATACTGTTAGGTAAATAGCTCTTTAACAAAATTATCATTTTTTACTTTGCCTGACACACTTGTGGGCATGCTATAGTATTACACAAAATTCCTAAGCAAAGTGTATAAAATCCTATCGTTATTACTACATTTCTTGCTTAGCCTAAGAGCTTCAGGCATTGTAAAGAATGCCTGAATTATATACTTTGCCAGTAATATATACAATTTTTATCCAAACTGTTCTACAAATACACATGGTAGTACACAGAATTTCGATATTATCTATAATCAAAATACATAAAACTGTTCACAAGTAATAATTTGTGTACAATTCGAACGCTAGGTTAGATGGAACTTGTACTTGGACCTTACATCTCATACTAACCTATCAACTCACAGGATTCATATAAACTCTATACGTTACAAACAGTGACACATCTGTCAGATCACAAGCTGTCTCTTTGTAGACCTGAACAACCCCAACACAACAGACAACCCCAACACAACAGACAACCCCAACACAACAGACAACCCCACCACTCACCTTGATAGGCTAGAGCCAGACGTAGCACGAGTGCGAGAGAGATGCATATATGTGATGACGTCATGTAGATTGTGTAGACTACGAGTAGACACTGAGAGTGTAGACTTATCTCACATGTTCCCGTTGGTAGACTGAGGCTGTGATGTAGACAGGAGGTTGGTGCGGCTGCGCGAGGGGTGGCGGGAGAGATCAACAAGTATCCACCAGGAGGGTGTTTGATCAAAGTCTCTCCGTCTCTGTGTTGATCGCAGAACCCTTGAATACAGAGAAATATATAACTTGCTACTCCTCACATCTCGTACTTTGCGTAACGAATGTGTAATTTTGTCAACTAATGTCTTAGAAATATTGGTATTTCCAGTTATAAGACAATCACCATAATCTACGTTGAAACAAAACTATTAAAAAATAACCTTAAGGGTTAGATTGGATTAGGTAAGGTACAGTTAGAACCGAAACTTAGTCTAAATATCACATACTGTATTGTTTACTTTTTTACTGTTTCTATCTTCTATTTGTGCTTACAACATTAACCTATAAATATACTAATATTAACTCACTTAGCATTCAATTTGAAGCACCCCATTAATCTTACCCGTTTTGAGGTTTTCAAGAAAGTGATAAGATTTGGGCTAAATGTGATTGAATTTAAATTAGTGTAAATTTCCACACAGACATGATGAAAATCTGAAATATTTTGATTCTTCAGATCATTAAATATAGTACAAATTGAAATTGTAGCAATTTTAAATTAATACGTCAAACTATTTCAGTCGGAAACAAAGATAATCATTTCCCCTCTAATTGATCAGTATCTAAGTATTAAACTATTAACATTAGAGCTTATTAGTGGGTAAAACGTTGCTCGCCTCTGAGCGCTGAAAGCAGTTTGTGAAAACACCCAATCCTTTATAACGTTTTAAGGTTTCATTGTCAAAAGAGTTCTGCTAACAGAAACTGTCCAGAAGTATGCTTTCCAAATAATCTTGAACACATATTCTCTCCAGTTTTATAACGGTAATTTTACAATAATATATGAGCCACACAAAATATACTAATGATTTTAAGGTCAGTGAATAAAAAAACAAAATTAGGACATTAAAATTGGTCCAAACTTCATCACGGATTGAAACGATTAGAGAAGAGAGAATATAATTTAGCTTTTGGCTTGAGTAGTATCAAATATGAAGATTTAGAGATTTTACCTTGAACTATTTTATTCTTTGTTAACTTGATTTGTCCTGAGGTTAGGTATTTAGTGATAAAGAAAATAGTGATAGAGAGGAAAAATACTTAGAACTTGTTAGATACGTTGATAGAGAAAAATCACAATATAATTAAGAGTAAAAATTATAGAGTACAAACAATTAATATTTTCGTCAACATAAACAGAACATTTTAAAAACCAACAATAACAATAAAGCACATATGTTAATATAAAAAAAACCAAAACATGTGTTAGAGCCAGACCAAAGGCAAAACTATTTGAATGTTAAAACAAATTATGTCTTGGAGACAAACTGAAGGCAAAATGTATTTTAAATAGATAGAATACTCAAAACGGGTATAACACGTTTACAAGGTTATAAAAAATATCAATTAGTTTTGTTTGCGTAGAGCTAAATAGTATTTTATTGACGTTCCAATAAACATATTCTCGAATCATTTGGATTTAAAATAGTCGTTTCAATTTTAAGACATTATCAAGACTTACAGTAGTTGTTTTTGCTCAGCTTCTTTTATCAAGCAGTAAAGCTGGCTGTGGATCAATATATTTTTCTCCTAATCACTGAAAAACTACACAAATATCACAAAAATCACTGGTGAAATTGTAAAGAGAAGAACCCTTCTCGATGAATTCAACAGAAGTTAAACTGAAATAAACATAGACACATACCCAGTCAAGTAGATTCCTTAATTTTATTCGGTAGACACGAATTGACAATGAAACATTTACACATTCCGTCTGAAGGCAAGACTGATCACATCTCTTCACCTCAATTGCTTTCAGTTCCTGAATTATTCAGAAGGTTCTTCGGCAAATCCACTCGATTCGTCCATATGAAAAGATCACAACTTTAAACAGCTTACGGTTTTATATGTCTATTACTAGTTTTATCAGTACCGAATAAAATGTAGATAGACCTTTAAATAGTAAGATTGCCATAGTATTTTGTCAACTATTTTTCAAGTAAACAGCTCTAAAGTTATATAACGATAGGAAATCACTATATAATTTTGGAGACGCATATTCCGCAGTAATATACAGAATGTGTAGCAGAGTATACAGATTGAAAAAATACAAAAATAAATACAGGTGGAGTGGTAGTTCCATTTCCGACTTAACCAACTACACAAAATTAAGATAAACCACAATATTCTAGTAACAATTGTTTAGTTAACTATCCAACTTAAATTTGTAAAATAAAAAAGTGGTAGGTAGTAAAAGTAACGAAAGCAATATTGTAGTAACATATTGATATATGATATTTCATTCACTTCGCAAACTATTAATTTATTTTAACCTCTTTACACCTAACTTATAAGATTTTTTTTATTAAAAAGGCTTTGGGATCAAATGCCTTTTCTCAATCCATGTAATTTCAAGACAATTTTGAAATATTATAAATTATTCGGGTTTAATTAAAAACATTGGATAGCTTTTAATCTAAGGCGGAAGCTATATACAGGGTTTTAATAAAATAATGGTAGGGTTCTAACTGTCTGTAAAACTATTATAAGACAAATTCAATATTTTATATTGATACCCCTGTATCCGGTAGCTCAAACAGTTTTGTTTACATTAATTGAAACAGCTGTGTTGATTGTTGTGCTAGTAGACAACCTACTCATTCTTTTAAATAAATTTCAAGTTGTATTTTATTAAATTCCATGTTGATGGCCCCTGGATTACTATGAATGACTATAATATTGTGGTATAATTACCTCGTCAAGTAATCCAAATGATGTGATGTTAGGCTAAAAACCTACATGTTTCGCCGTTAATACGGCATCGTCAGGGTACAAACACAGTAAGACATTGCTGTCACACGCATACAATAAATAAATAACACGAAATGTACGAATGTTCGTAATTCGTTTCGTGTTATTTATTTATTGTATGCGTGTGACAGCAATGTCTTACTGTGTTTGTACCCTGACGATGCCGTATTAACGGCGAAACATGTAGGTTTTTAGCCTAACATCACATCATTTGGATTACTTGACGACTTAATTATACCACAATATTATAGTCAGTGTATTTTATTATAACATGTTTTCCGTCAAGAAAAGTGTGTAACTAAGTTAACTAAAGTCAGTGACTCTAGTATAACGGCCATTTAGGATGTCAAAAACATAGTTTAGCCTTTCTACTAGTATTAACCAGGTATGCAGTCCCCATTGTAACAAGGTACATGTTGCACTGTGGGCTGAGAAGGTCATCGTCTGGACTTAGTAGATCAAGCAATTGTTGTCATGTTGAAGCTTATTAGCTATGTATAAAATCTTTTTTAGTTTTTTTGTTTCTTTTCACGTTTTATTTTTATTTCATAACCAAACACCACCATATCTTTATGGAAACCCTGTATTTTTACTTAACACTACTTAATAGTAAAGTCAAAAAGGGAGTAAAAATTGTAAAATAAAAAATGCCCCTTCTATAGAAAAAGTTTTCGACATTCTTTGCTTACTTTTTGCAATTTAACATAGAATAAATCCCAAAAATATTTTTTAAGCTGCTGAACATCCTAAAAGGTTCATATTCTGATTGATTTTTCAAAAACAAAAATTTAAAATGCAATAAAAGATATTACCAATGGAGAGTGTGCATGGAGCATAACAACATTGAATAATGTAACGCTTTTCATCTCGGTATGAATTCATTTCCAACGCCTTTGTCAGCCAGACAGTGATTGTATAGATGCTCATCTGGTAATGGATCTTTTGCTAGTGACATGCCTTGAAATATCTCCTGTTGCATTATGGGATTGTGCTTTTCCAGCTTTTGAATCTCATCCAACCCTAAATATTTTTTAAATATCAACATGTAGTGATATAATATGAGTGTAAGTTTGAGAGGTATTATTTTTGAATCCACCATGGTGGCGTAAATATATTTTATAGAAAATCCAAAACGCTATGAAGGGTTTAAAAATATCAAACTTTTGTAGTTATAGCTAGGATTGAACTCGTCATTAATCGACCAAAGTTCGTGATGCTATCAATGAAAAACAAGATAAACAATTAAAGCGGGGTTTTCTGTCGTAGAACGTTCTAAAATTATTTCAGTTGTTCTAATTTTTTTGTGATTATTTTTTATCGAATTGGTGCGGAGGGGTTTTGCCAATACAGAGAACTGTCTTCATCACTTAGAGCTCTTTTCATTTCGTTTTGTAGATAGGAGGTACAGTAGTGGATCTAGTGCTAAAGGGTTCCGAAAAACACCGTTGAAATCTTATAGAAGGGAAGAAATCTTGAATAATTTATATTTGCATAGGTACTTAAGTCAAACATGGACGCCCTACAGCTGCAAACTAGTTAGAATTCATTTAGAATTATTGGAATTCAATACAACCGTAGATTCAACTTTGCCAGGGCACATTTAAAACAGTGCTACAGCTGTTATCCCATGGGTCTAGATGTGCATTTGCTTAAACACCTTAGTTTAACAGAGTACAAGGCACGGTTTGAATTATTTATAGTGTGTTGCAGTATATCGCGGGAGATGGAACGTAGTTTGTGTTCGAATCTAGCAAACATTCTCGATATGAAATTATAAACATCAAATTTAAAAGGAAGCCAAAGTGTTGATAGATTTTTTTTAGAAATTGAGCCTAAAATGGCAACACCGCTGAACCAGCCTAATGAAACAGCTGTTCCACTAAAATATTTACACTTTGTTTTTACCGTTATTACCATGGAAATATTTCGACCAGTGCGACGCGACGTTGCCACTTACCAACCCTGCAGACCTTTACTAGAGGAGGCATATTAATATTCTCAAAATTTCCTTTTAGGCTAAATGTTTCTTTATCAATCTTATCTTTAATCTCGATTGATTCATTGGTCCACTCTGGCACTGGCACTGATCGAATTAAAACAAATAGACTATCATAA